GAACGCCCACTGCTGCAGTTAGGATCCAGGAATCGTGCCTCACAAGTCGAGGATTAATGAACAAACCTCAAAGCCCCATTTGGCTTCCAATTGATCAAGTTCCTCCTTTGTCCATTCCCCACCATCATGGTGATGATTGCACGCGGTAGCCGAGCCTACCAGTCTAAGAACCGGTAATATGTGAGCGAATTTCATCTTCAAAACGTAAGGTGATTAAAAAAACCCAAATGTTTAGAGCCAGAGTGATTGAGAAGGCATCTGTAGGTTCTTTAAGATGTCTCAGAGATCACATTTGTTCGATTGAACGAGTAATGTATCACGCAAAACCAATAATTTTGCCAATTCGGGATAATCATCCCGAGCACGAATGTGATTTCCCTGTGCTTCGCTTATCCTAGCTTGACGCCCGTGTTAAGCCGTCTACAGGCTAAAACTTTTTTCTTTTTTTAACCAAACCTTCTATGCATCAATTTAGTCGTAAACTATTTTCTGCGCATGGTGTAATTCATTTCATTCAAATGTAACCGTTGCCTTGCTTGGGGTTATAATATTGTTTTACTCTGGGGGAGGAGATGATCTTCCCGACTGCCGTACCTACGCGGGTTGCGCGTAGAAATGTCTACACAATCATGATGCTTGGAGTTGACGGTTCACGAAGAAATTCTTCCCAATGTATCTCTTCCTTACCGGAAATAGCTCGCTCTTCCCACAGAGAACATATCAGCGGCTTCACCTTTTGCCATATTGAGAGTGTGGATTGTTTGATAATGAAGTCGAGCCATGCCAATACCCTTTTTCGAAGCAGAATGTCCTGAACTTCAAAAAACGCCATTGCGACGGGCCACAGAATTGGGGAATATGGGCGAGATTTGTAGTTGGCCAAAGCTTCAATGTGATCAACAGCTTGCTCAACGAGGAGCTGCACATCGGCGAGGGGCAAGCCGCGCAACCTTCGTTTGCAGTAGATGATGGAGCCAAAGTAAAAGATTTGGGCGTAGTGATGAACCAGATCTTCTTGTCCTCGTGTTGCTGCCGGAATATGACAATCGGGCGGTATGGAAAGATACAGTTCCATCTCAAAACGCTCCAAGTCCAGCAGTGGCTCCTCACCATACTGATGGAGTCTCACAGCCATCGCAATCATGTCGCTCATCACCTCTAGAGATTTTTTGGGAAGCCCAAAAATGTAATGAAGATGGTAGGGCTCTAGCATCGCCCCCATCTCAAAGTGAAAATTGCCGTCTTGAGCGACCTCTTCTGATAATATTTGTGATCGCAGCATCGTTGCGGTACTAGCCAGCATCTGATACATGGTGATTGTAGATTCGTCATGAGCCCACGAGGTCACATTCACTTTGCGGAGCCATTGAGAAGCTCCACGCAAATGGGTAAGCCAGAAGTTTCTCTCCACTGTAACTGGCTCGTATGTCATACATAGCAAAAGGGATGCTAGCACACTCTCCCGTTGGGCCGGGTCATCAACGGCTAAGTGATGCTGAAGATGGCGAATGCCTTGGTTCTGGTGGGACAGTGCCAAGGTCAGAAGTTCGGATTTTTGGTTAACATTCTCCAAGTGAACGGAGAGATGGAAAGCAGCAGCTGAAGAGACAAGGTAGAATAGCACGACCGATCCTGTGGATGAAGAAGCTGGAGACATTGCTCCCGCATAGACGATGGGCACAAAAATCCTTTTAAGAGGGCTCATTGATCCTGGGACGGACGAAAGAGCGTCGCTCAAGTGTGTGATCCAGTATTCAATACATCTGAGCTGCAAACGCATGGGGTACAAGAGATCGATGTGCCTTCTGGCGGTCCGACATCCTGGGCTAGACCCTCGGTGATCTGGCGGTGGGAGGAGCTTAGGAACTGACCAGAGAGGAATGTTCCTGAAACCCTGTTCGTCTTGCTCAAAACCACGCCGCTCTCGAGCATCATGAGTCCTTGTATCTATTGAAGGGAGAAGCAACAATGCTACTGAGCTGGCATCGGTGGGCGATGTGATTTCTTGTAGGTTTGTTTGGATGGGTGGACTTGTGCACGTACTTGCCGGCTCCGATTGTGTTGCTTCAGCCTCTAGAGGGGTTTCAGGTGATGGATGCTGCGGATAAGAAAGTGGAGTACAGGATTCCGATCTTTGCGACGTTGCTGTCTCCAACTGATGTCTCGAAGTGTGACCGGTCTCCCAATCAATTGGTAAGGCTGTCTCAACTCCAAAGTCCGAAGGGCCCCTCACAGGTTTCCACTGCACGCTTGACCTATAACCAGGGTATCCGGCGCACTCGAGGTTTGCATTGGAACACCGTCGGCAAACAGGCCGTGTCTCATCACACTTCAGATGTCTAGACCTGCAGGTCATGCATCCCGAGAATGTCTTGACTCTCCTTGACCGCGTTCTTCGGGGCTGATCACGGGGCCGTCTCGGAGTACCGGGCATGCTTATGGCAAAGATAGATTCCGTAGCTGCATGGGATACGGAGAAACGGTCTAAAAACGAAAAGGGCTTGTTGGGACAAGGACCAGATGATGAGGTGGAGCACGAGTACCCACGTGATAAGTGGTAGGAAGCGGGCTGACTCGAGACTATGCCTTTTGGGGGCATGTATACCGAGTCTAGCTGGTCAATTGAAATATTGGAAGAAGGCAACAAGGTTTTCAGAAGGGCGGTGGGGAAGACGGACATCATCTTGCTACAACGTGTTCTTGCATGATTGTCCGTGCACTTGGGCACCTCCAATCGTGAAGAATGGCCATTTTGAGAATAATAGTTTGATAGTGATATTTGCTTGTGTATGACAAGTCTTGATAAGCATGAAAGTTTCCAGATCGGGCAAATTCTGATCGTCGTACTTCGGGTAGAGTACATAGTAAGGTAGGTTGATGGTCGACTTCGATCCTCACCATTGAGAGCATTTGTAGAAATGTTATATATCTATATCTTCATTTCCTTAGTAGAATGAGAATTGCGATAGAACATCGCGTCTTGACTAGCAGGATCTTAGAAACGGGTGGACTCAAGTGCTGATTTAGCATGACCAAACTACAACCATACATCACCAAGGGTGTAATTAAATGGAGGATATGTCCTCTGAGGGTTCTAGCGCCTGTCCAGTGATCCTAGCCGGTAGAGCAGACATATCGTCAGCAGTATAGCTGGGCAGTGAAATTCCTGCCGAGGGCTCGGGACTTGTCAGCTTTTGTATAGTTTATTCTTATAATATAAAAAATTGATTACTTTAGTTGAGATAGGCTAGCTAATCTCCTCCCCTTCGTGCTGCTTCCCGGGCCTGTGCTTTTGCATGGCTGTTGGACTCCAGATATCCGATGGCAGAGTGCAGTTATTTCTGTGGTTGCACCGGAAACCCGTGCCACCATCGAATCTCAATTTCCGTTCTCAATGTGAAGCAGTCTTGCGCTCAGGTTCCAAAGTCTCTCCTCAGCATCTTGATCATAGAGATGCGGGGCGTATCCGGGATCGAACTCCGCTGGACTGAGAGTCTTGGCTGGGCCCGCGATACTGCACTCAGACAGATACTTGCCACCCTTTCCTTCCAACTCAACAGCTACGGCTGCCCATACCGACGTGGCGGCTCCCTGCTGGGTTGTCTGCCAGGCCTTGGAGCCCTCTGGGTCCTCGAGTAGCTGCTTCATCAAGGCCGGATCGCAGAACGCCTGGATCCCGGTTGCAACTGCGCCAGGGTGAACCGAGAATGCCCGTACGCCCAGTGGCCTGAACACACGGTCGATGTAATTGGCAGTCCACGCGTTGGCGGTCTTCGACTGTCCGTATGCTGTAAATGGTTCATACGAGCCTGGCTTCTCAAAGTTGTAGTCGTCGAACTGGAAAGTCGACAGCCGATGCCCTGTTGATGAGAGATTGATAACTCGTGAGGCTTGGCCTGTAGTGCTAGAAGACTTCAAGGTTGGTAGAAGCAATGCGGTGAGGAGGTAGTGTGCCAAATGGTTGACCGCAAATTGCCTCTCAAAACCTTCCTTGGTCTTACTATAGGGGGTTGCCATGATACCTTGTCAGTGACCTACGTTAGCAAATCAAGTCCTTGAAGGGGCGGGGCTTATTGATCATACCGGCGTTGTTAATCAGGATATGAAGCTTGCTGCTCTTCCCGAGGAAGAAAGCAGCTGCTTCACGGACTGACTCAAGTGAGTCTAGGTCCATCGCAAGGACTTGGAGTAGGCCTTCTCCACGGCTGCTTTTGGAGATGTCTTCCAATATTGCCTGTCCCTTACTGGCATCCCGGGCCGTGAACCAGACATCAGCCCCTGTTGCATGAAGTGCTCGAACTGTTTCGACACCGATGCCAGAGGTGCCTCCAGTGACCAAGGCAATGCGGCCCTTCCAAGCGCCAATAAGCGAGTTGTCCTCGATAATCTGTAGCGCAGTAGGGCGGGCATCACCGGGACCGTTGGGTGAGCGGTATGACTCTGCGTAGGACTTGGTGGGATTCGGCATGATGTATTGTGGTGAGATGATATTCTACTTGAGGAGGGAGGTTGTTGCTCGTGTGGTTTGAGTTGTGATCTTGGACTGAGGAATATGGCGAGCTTATATACATGATGAGAAGTTACCAGACCCGCGATTCGAATGTGGTTCCTTGCCTTAGATTCCATTTCCATTCTCTGCCCTTGGACCTCAGATGTCGTGTGGATGTGAACTTGTGAGCGGAAATGAGCGGATGTTTGCGCTCCCGCTCGATACACGTTTTCTGCCTACCCAATGCGGAATGGCTTTGCTGATCAATCAGCGCTAATTTCCGCTCACCAACATATTTGATCTCTCGTCATTCCAGACACGGCGGTGATGCCCGCTCAAAGAAACACCTAGCTGGCTCAGCCGCTTGAAAACCCAACGTACAGTGGGCGACTGGGAATTCTTGATAGGAGGGACACCATTCTAGGTTAGCTTAGTCTTCCAGGATGACGCGTGCAAAGGCATTGCAATCATGCCAAGCTTGCAGGTGAGCCGCCGCCTCCGAATCCGAGGTTAGAGACAGATGTTAACGATTAACAAGACGACTGAAGCGGAGGTGCTCCAAAGACGTTCCAGCTTGCTCCCTCGTAAGTCAACTCATCAGCCAACGCATGTAACTTCCAAATCAGTGTCAGAGTTAGCTCGCCTCCAATATACTGAGTTGTTCTTCTAGTGCATCCGCCTCAATAAAGAATGTATCTATCCCGGATTCCAGAGCCAGGATCAGAACGTCCTAGTTGATGTTTTTGATAGACTTCGCCACTTGGAGGAAAATCTGGATGTGAACAAGCGGGTTTCATCACAGGTTTTCTTACCCCAGAATACTGCCCAAACATTTCCCGGCATTCAGGGCACGAAAACGCCCTTCCCAGCCGCCTTCTTCCTAGACAATGAGTCGTTTAGAGCCTTGGAAGCCAACGCTTTGTCATGGGGTCTCGATAATTCGCTGCAACGAGGGGCTTCGAATCTTCTCGGTGTAGATCGGACGGAGGCGAGCTCGAGATATTTCTCCTCCGTCCACCCATGGTTTTCCTTCCTGAGCCAAAAGCGGCTGAACAATGGGGACAAGGGATCCTCAGCGGATTTAGATGGCTGTGAACGACTTTTAATCTTATGCTTTGGGCTCCTCACAGAGGAGTTGGTACATCCACCACAAGAATTACCTCAAGCAAGCAGGCTCTACTCATCAATAAGAGCGAGTGTGTCCGCAGCCGTGGACGGTGGTTGCGTATCGTTGAGGTTGGTACAATCACTCGTGCTCTTGTCTCTGTATGAGCTAGGCCATGCAATTTATCCTACCGCGTATCTCACTCTGGCCCAAGCTGCCCGCATGGGCACCTTGATGGGGCTTCAAAGCAAGACCAAGGCCTCAAGACTCTTCACTCCAGCAAATTCATGGACTCTGCGTGAAGAGCAACGCCGAACGTGGTGGGCCATTCTGATTCTTGACAGGTACGTGCGAGTATGGGTCTCAGCCCTCCGGTTCCTCTCACTAGCATCATCTAACGCGTTCAACAGGTTTGCGAATATCGGCGCAGGAGGCCAATCCCTCTGTGCGCCCGATCCCACTTCCACCGATCTGTTGCCGGTCAATGATACCTCGTGGGACGCTGGACAAGTGGTCGCTAATGAGCCGCTATATACCACCGAATTCTGCTGTGTGGCAATGGTCAGCCCCCTTGCGCGAACATGCCAGGCCGCGCATATGTTAGGAAAGATAATCCAACACGGCAGAGATACCGAGGATCCGGCTCACAGCCTGGCCGAGGCATTGCAAATCCACCGTGCGCTATCTTCACTCCTCAGCAACCTAGAGCTCAGGGAGGACCTTGAGTCGAACGTTTCGGCGCTAAGTCTTTGCTGTTCCGCTATTTTCCTTCTCTATGATCGATATCAGGCGAACGAATCGGATGAGATGGTGCGGCTACCAGCTGAAACTGAGCTGCAACACCGCACACTGGAAAGCATCCGAGGCATCGCCTCCAGCACTGCGCCAAAGATTGCACAAATAATCCAAGATCAGCCAAATCTGGCCAAGAGTCTGCTCAATGGACCCTCTCTCTACCGTGCAGCGAATATATGTGCTTGGTTCATCAGAGAGGATCACGACCCAATGATGTACGAGGCGCTAGAGGTTATCGTGGCTGGGTTAAGGGGCTTACAAGCCCGTTGGCCAGTAGCCGGTGAGTTTCAATTGAAATTTATCTGGCATTTTCAGTTGCTAAAAGAGCTTTAGGAGAATATTTGAAACTGCTTAGAGCGGCTGGGGTTCTTGAGTTTGTCGATACCGCACCCGGACTCCCATAGAAGCCAGCCTGATGTGGTGTAAATAATGTTGAACAGTACTGGCATGGCGTGTGATGATTGTCTGTAGTTGTGCGTCTTGATTAAGTTTGCCTATGCGTAATGGTGTTGATCATGGCTTGTTAGAGGAGGTGAAGGCACCTGTCAGTCCTTGGGGTTAGGTAGAAAGCCAAATAGTCTTAAGAATTAGAGCCACTGCATTAAATGTGCCCGAACTCTAAAATAACTCCACTTGATAAGTGCCCTCGTAAAAACATAAGCGTTTCGCTCAATAGTGAGACTAACGATTATTCTTTTCCCAGAAGCTATTTGCTTCTTTGTTTATCGGCTTTGTTGAATTGCTTGTAGGATATTATTTAAGGGGGCCTATTAAACTAGTTCAAAATCTGACATGGTCACACCATCAAAGAATCCAGTCCGGTAATCTCGCGCTATACCGACGCGTCGGAGGCGCGAATCTTGAACCATTTCCACGAGAAGAAAGGCCGTTTCAGTAAGTTCCAAGGCGAAGACTGTTAAAGATCCCTGTAGAACTCGGTAAACCGAAGATATGTAGTCCAGCTGCCCAACGATTTCCTGCTTCCTCGCTTCATAGGCCACTATGAAGCCGGTATGGGCATCCGCAGAATACACGGGCAGCTCTGGTACGACCCAAAAGTTGAATAGAGGGTTCGTAGAAGATCTATCTCGTTGGCCACTAGAGTTTTGCTCAACAATAGAATCCCATGGACATAGGCTGGCCTCTTGATGCCAAAACGGCCTCAACCTTGCCCTCACCCGGAGCCCAGCAATTCGCGAACCTTTGTAGATGTCGTCATCGGAAACTGTTTCAGAGGTATCGTAACTCCAACTGCTTACAAACTCGAGACCCCCAAGAGTCTGGACTTCTGCCTCATACTCAATGCCGTGACAAAGTGGCAAGGAGGCCCAAGACCAAGAGGGAAAAGTTTGGCTCGAATCGACTGCTTTCTGAGGAACGAACTTGGCAACCCGCCATGAAAGATCGTGAGCCAACGTCAGTTCCCACAGTCCAGACAAGTAAGTATTTTTCTGGTCAAAGCTCGACTGATACCGAGATGCCAGACCAGAAAGGGCAGGGAAGCGGTCATTTGGATTGGACATGTCTCGGAGTGTGTACGATGTAATTAATGATAACCATCCTCGGTGCCGAGTTTCGGCAGTACCATGATGACATGCGACCAAGAAGCTCTGTGGCACGTCTTGATTGAAGCCGCTCAGCTTACATACCGTTGTAGGAATCGAAGTCTCAGTTAGTTGCGCGCCAGCGCACGACCAGTAGATTTTGTTGGGTGTCCAATATAGCACCCTCGGTGATAAATGCTCTTCTTGTAATGTCCAGGATCGCTTGGTCAAAGGGGAGGACTTTAAAATCTCATCCAAGGTGATAAGAGGAGGCAGTAAATATCGCCCACGCAGATGACAGGACTGAGTGACCTGGGAATAAGCAGAGCGATGAGATAATATAGCCTCGGTCGCTTTGGAGTTAGAACACAATGCTAGGGTAAAGAAAGCATTACCGTAATAGCTATGCATCCTCGGTGCTTCACGCATGAAATCAGACATATTGCTTTGGCCTTGAATAATGCACACAGAGTCAATCCATGCATAGGTTAGCCCCGCACGTCTGAAGATCGTGATAGCATCACGAAGAGTGACAGGGAGGTCCAAGATTGAGAACGCCTGGTGCCGCTGTTCTAGGTTCTCCATGGTAGTCATTCCTTTGTGCAAAAATTGACCATCTTTCTCTGTGAGGAATTGAGACCCCCAGCAATAGCTGAGGGCAGCATATTGTACTTGCTCCTCCATGGAACATAATTGAAGCTCTGATTCAGAAACTATACGAATCAGCCTCGTGGGGTTCTCTGAAGACCATCGCAAGACTGAGCAACTCTGTTTGTGATCTTGATGGCATGTCTCAGCCCAGCTTCTTATTTGCCGTGCTATCCATGGAGAGTTCGGATTCTCGGGAAGATTGAGAGAAGATTTAGCCGTCGAAGATGTTGGGACAAGCACAGATTTGTCCGTATGGTTAAGTATTTCAATCTTAAAGACGACACTACCCTCCAGAATTTGCTCTGGGATATTTTCTGGAGTACCGCTTCCTTGGTAGTTGAAGACGGGGCGCATATACACAGGGCAATGCCTTGTCGTTGCAGCAAGGGTATTCGCCTCGCCAGTAGTCGCGCATCGAGAAAGAAGCGCTTGTCGGAATACGCGGCAGGTTTGACATCTCTTTGCGCACTCTGAGAGCTCGGCAAAGTCGTTATGAAACGGCAGACGGCCAGTCGGGGACGGTTTGCCTTTCTTGCGCGATTCTGAGTGGAGGTCCAGTAGGATCTCAATTTGCGAACATCCTCGGCAAATCGATTGGAGATCAACCCCAATATTTGTCTTGCTATAATCCGACTGCTTGCCCTTGCCCGAAAACCACATTCTAAGCAGGCCGTAGATCTTTCTCCGGGCTATTCGATGCGCGATGTATTTGAGTAATGATGGTGGTAGAATAACTAATCCTCGTCTTACTAGGTTTCAAGCATCTAAATTTGGAATGTTGATCCTTCATGATGAGTGGCGATCTGGAGATTCGATTGTGGCTGTGCCCGATCATGTGAAACGTCAGCCCAGCTCCACTTTTGACTTCAGCCATCTTCCATCATCATTCATAAACGAACAAGAAAAGGCCGAGTATATCCCTCTCCGCAGCCGCCATCATCTGCTGTTCGCATATTGAATACATCTACTTGGTTTGATAACTACCGCGGAGAATGCCGTCCCTCGAATCCGACGACTGGCGTGTACGCACACGAGCAATGATGTCTCTCCCCAACTTGCTGACGGGCGCCGACGTCCTTGTCGGCGATCTTGTTTGCCAGGCGGTTCACACATCGTGTCTTGTATTTCAAGCTATAATTCTTGGCGCTGGAGCTTATGGTTTCATATCATGCAGCAGTGATTTGGGGTTCAGTGAAGACCATTGTTCCTCCAATAACTCACGAATAAACCTTCCATGGTCCGCATCGCTCATGGTATGCCCCCACTAACCCTTCATACGATTATCCATAGTTTCGGGTCGAGTTGTGGTTATCTTCTACCGTACTTATGGGGAAGAAAACTCTACTAACAACTTTGGCAGGGTATGGTGGCCGGTGCCGCGAATTTAGTCTATCTCAGCCGAATCTCAGCTCTCGAAAAACGAGAAACGGACAACACCAGCCATCTGAAGCGGCTCCGAAAGCTCTACACTTTATCAGTTGGCATGCTTTTCAACGTGATATTCATGCTAGTTGATTTTATCATCATGCACAAAGCAAATTCCTTGGCTGATGCAAGATGGACTCACCTCTACATCCTTGCCACAGTAGAAATGATTGGCGGGTAAGTCCCCGCGCCCTTCACCGACGTTAGACTGTGCAGATAACTGATCAACATACAGAGCCCTCTTGATGGCTACCTTGCTTCTTCATGCTTGCAAGCTATACAGAGTTCTTCGTCAGAAGAGTCAAGTTTACGAAGTTTTAAACAATCTGGAGGAAGGGTTCGAGGATGAATATAGGGATTTGGAATGATGAAAATTCTTGGCTTGCGCCTCTTCCACCAAGAGATGAATAAAAATATATCCCTCAGTTATGTTCATTTTATTTCCTGGACTACCACAGATAGCATTTCTCTTTTTTGTAATTTTCAGTCAGTTAATAATATATGAAGTTTAAACTGTGCATAGCAGCTTAATATAGCACTTAATACTCTAAATGATTCCCAAAAGTGCATCCTGCAGCTAAAAAGTCAATATTTAGACGTCTTTGGATACGATCAGTGACCCTACATAGCCATACTACTATAATAGGCACTGTAACTCTTTTTTAAATCCAAATTGACGTGTCGGTAGGAATTGATTCTCAGAATTTATTATGGTCATGCCATGAGCAGCCTCAGAAGTAAGGCTATGCTAGTATATTCTACCTATACCTAAAGTCTCATGAAAATCTTCCTTCGATTATGATAGCAACTTAAGTATTCTATATAGACAATCTAAACCTAAGTAAATCACCAGAAAAAATCGGTTCCTTCTTATTCAGCAGGTCCTCCATATCCCAATTTGAACAAATGATCCGTGGCGACAACCATTCTCTCCTTTCAGCTGTGAGCCATACCAGAGTGTTCGCCACCAGTTCAGCAGTATCCGTCAGATACGGCGTAAAGTCGGGATGAAGCTGGCTAGCCAAGTCTGTTTTCACAGCTCCTGGTTCCACCGAGTGAATAACCAATCCCTCCTTTCCATACTGGGCATCTAGGTGCTCGCCGAAACGACATAGTGCGAATTTGGTGCCTCCATATGCCGAAGCCAATCCTGAGATGGCAAACGCAGCGCCACTTGTCAGATTGCAGATTGTTTTTGACTTGGACGCGAGAATAAGGGGCATGAATGCTCGGCAACATAGATAAACCCCCTTGACATTAACCTCCCATGTCCTCCACCACTCTTGGGGATCCGAGTCTTTGTCGGCAACACGGCTTGGACCTTCGCTATAACCGGCATTATTGATGAGAATATCCAGAGATCCACCAAACGCATCCGAGATTGTTTTCGCAGCATTATTTAAGCTATCCTCTGATGTCACGTCAAGAGATAGTTCGACGATGGTTGGAACGGCTCGACCAGCTCGGTCTGCAGCTTCTCTGCATTCGTTTGCAACCTCAATGAGGGCTCCGCGCGCTACCAGGGCGATTTTAGAACACCCCGCCGAGGCGAATGCAATCGCCATTGCCTTCCCCAGGCCTCTGGACGCACCAGTGATGCATACTGACTTTCCGGCAAAATCTTGTAAAGACGGGTCGATGAAAGGGTAGGTGTCTGAGCGAGAGCGCTTTGTGAAACCTCGCACCTCTAGCGCGTTGGAAAATTGCATGTACTCCATGTCTTATGTGACATCAACCAGAAATAGGTATTTAAATTATTATCTGGTTATCAGATCATCTGATTTTAATTGTCTTTTATAATTCAATACTCTCGGCGAGTATTCGGTCGGCGAGTATTCGGAGACATTGTTGTTTTGTAAGCGAAGATCGGATACTTTTGTATCTAATAATAAACTTAACATTCGAACCGGTCATTACTTTACGCTTCTGTCTAAATCTTTAGCCCGTGTTCGTGGCCAATTAACCAGAAATAGTAATTCTTATGGCATGTCAACGTCTACATACACCCATGTTGCATATCTCAGCAACCTCGGCATAGGGCGAACTCAAAAACGAGTGGGATGATTTCTCATTATACCCAATCGCATGTTTAATCCTATACTTAAATGTCATCTTCAGTTAGCCCGCCGTACCCTTCTCAACCTCTTTCTAAAATCTTAACTGAGAAGTCCTCTCCGGCCTTGATCCCCATGATCCCTAACCCCGGAGTGCCAACATCACCTTCCGGAAGAGGCGCACCGCCAATGATTTCAAGATCAAAGCGGTGTAGAACAGTGCATATGCATGCTTTGATAGACTGCTCAGCAACAAAACGACCTGTGCAAAGAGTTTTGCCACCTCCAAAAGGTCTCCAATATCCCCCTCGTGTGCGATTCTCCTTCTCCAAAAGTCGATTCGGTATAAACTGCTCTGGATCCTGTTTATATGCATTCTCGTTCATGTGGAGGAGCCTATACGGGATGATGACCTTGTTTCCTTTTCGAAATAACATGTCGCCTACAACGGTATCTTCGTTGACGCAGCGGACTGCTGATCCGTTTGAAATCAGTCGAAGAGTCTCAAGCCAGACAGCCTCAAGGTGGGGGCAGAGACTATGGTTGACAAGTTGCTCGTGATTGACTAGTTCGCTCCCTTCAAAGGCCTGTGCCGTCTCTTGACGGATCGTTTCAATAAGCGATGGGTTATGGAGGAGGAAGGCTAGCATCCAAAATGTGGTCCTGCGTGTGTTTGTGTTGATGCTACAACGATCCGTCAGCAGGGTCCTATATTATTGAGTCTCCTCATTTGCTCGTATCACACAATAGCAGATAACGTACGTCATATACATGGTGAGAAAGAGAGTGGCGATATCGTCCTCTTGCACTCCCATCGCCCGGAGCCCCGCCTCGGCACCTTGAAGTAACCATGTCTGCTCGCTTCTTTCACTCTTGGGAGCCATGATGTACTTCTTCAAGCTTCGGTGTAGATGATTCGTGGCGGCTCTCATATCCTTGGAAAATGGTTTTGGAATCCGATAGTTTATATGCCAGCTGAGCTCATCAAACGTATAGAACACATCTGCAAAGTCAGGATCAATCCGCGAGAGATCGTCGCCAAAGTAGGCATAGCCACCAGCACGAGTGAAGAAGTGGGCACACCACTTGTACAGCGAGACATTGGCCCCCTTTACGCCAGTGTGATCATCTTTGGGTGATCCTGCTGCTCTGATTTGATCAATGCGTAAGTCACGATTGAAATAATGCAGAAAGCGTGCTACCAGGGCCTTCTGTTTCTCGCCTGGGTACAGCTCATGCATATGCATCTGATGGATCAACAATCCGATCGGATCCTCAGCTGCATTTGGGAAATCTACAGCCCCATTGGCAAGCTTCTGGAAGTAGCATGCTTGAGTGGCAGATTCACTGAGCCCTGTGTTCCGTAGAAAGTCCAAGACAAACTCCTCAAATGACAGAGTACTTGCGTTTTTATCAACTTCTGCGGCATGCTTGGCGTCAGAAATGACATAAAACTTTGCTCCTATGATGGTGAAAGCAAATGGAGTTCTGATGTTGCCAAGTTGCTGCCTGGTCACCATCTGTTAGCGCATTATGGTGTCGGCGAGGCTCATGATGCTCACCTTGCTCGCGCAAGAAAAGTATAGTAGTGTTTGAAAAAGGGAATGGTGTGACCTGGTAGGTTAGAATAAGCCTGAAACTCGGGGTAAAGATATATTGACACCCACCAAGGCCTGTGGAATGCGAATTAGCAAGATGAGTGCTAATGTGAATAGTTGAACGGCACTGACCTGGTATGAGATATGGCACCTCTGGCGGCTCCTCGGGGTGCCACTTCGGTGTAAGGGTGAATCGAATTACCCTCCATGCTGCCCAAATAACGAGCAATAAAATTGAAAACCCCCAGAGAGTGGTGTGTTGTTGAAAGATGCCGTTCAAGAGCCGCTGGCACCCCCGACAAAGGATTCCCGTTGTCTCGACTTCTATTATTCAAAGTGTGAATTATTGTCTAAATATAAAACTCTAGTAGAAAAAGATCATTTATTGTAATTTTGAGCTAATGGGGGATATATGGAACAAGGTAGCGGAAAGATCCCCCCAGCCCCCGTCTTATCAAAAGATGCCTAGTAGTGCCCCTGATCAATTCACCCTGCCCAAGGGGTAAAACGGCCCGTGTTGATCCAATTCTAAGAATAAGCCCATGGGCAAATTATGGGACACGCAATAGTCCCTGTGATACGCAAGTCTCTAGACTGGCCATGCCCAACGAGGCTTTTCTTATTATGCAGCCAGCGCGTGAAACTAGGGTCATGATTCAACCTCCAGTGCCCTCACATGGTTCGTTAAATTCATGGAAGCTTATCCTGTTGCACAAACCGAGTTGCGCACAAAGCTCAGGGAAGCCTTCCCAGGGCCCGAGCTACCGTCAGCTCAAGAGATTCTCGCAATGAATGTCCCCTACCTCGATGCAGCCTGTGAGGAGGGTTTTCGTCTCGCTGGCGTGACCAAGGCCAATCTTCGGCAGGCGGTGGTCCACACGCAGATCCTGGGCTGCCCCATTCCCAAGGGCACCGAGATCTTCATGAACTTTCACATCAACCACACGCCCGCTCCGGTCGATGAGACGAAGCGCTCCGCTGGTGCCAAGGCAGCCGTGGCCAAGAATGGCAACGGCTTCGATGGCAGGGCAGGTCGCGATCTTGGTATCTTTGAGCCTCAGAGATGGCTAGTCCAAAACAAGACGACAGGCAAAGAGACATTTAACCCCACCGCTCTTCCGTCTCTGGCATTCGGCGGCGGATACCGGGGATGCACTGGTGAGTTTTGCACTTCCTCTTCTCTAAACTACGTCGTGAGAGCCATGACAGCTACAATTTGATCCGGAGGTATTAGGTTTAGAATACTAATCTATCAAAAGGACGAAAACTGGCTTATATGGAGTTTCGTATTGTCGTTACCCTGATTATTTTGAGCTTTGAATTCCTAGAGCTACCAGAAGAGCTCAAGACCTTCAGTTGCAAGGAGAGGATCTTCAGGAGACCCAATACACCTCATGCTAAGCTCAAGATTCTATAATCTTCGGTTTGAAGTAAAGACGATGGAATTTTAAGCCCGTATTAAAGGTTATGTGGATTAAGTGTGAAAGATGGGATGTCTTGAATCTGCCTGGGCAGAGCACATTTGTATTTTTTTAAAATCTCTCACACGAGCCTAGGTTATTTTATCTAAGTATTAAACTATGTAATAAATCTAATTATTTACTTTCATCTTAAACTTGGCCTTCCTAGATTTATCGCTCTCAAAGAAAACATTATACAAGATGGAAAGAAAATAATTTCATCGGAAGAGAGCTTTAGTATCAAAGTTAAAACAGAAGATACCAGACCAGACATCTCAATATAATGAAAACAAAAGGTTAAAAATAGGCATACCTAGCCTAAGGCTGTAGTCATACAGAATAAAACCTCTGTAAATCTTCATATGTACTTATAACTCACTCGGCATCAGGACGAGCCGCTCGTCGAATGGATATTAAGCTTACCCACTTTCACCTGGCTTCCTTCGTTCGCCTTACAAATATGAAGGAGGGCAGCCTGACGAAGATAGCAATGGAGGTGGAAGGGATCAGGGCTTTACAGAAGATGGCTTCAATAGAAATGCTTCTTGGCCTTTAAAAACACAATGAAAGAGAACACAGTAAGAGATTTGAAGATAGGGCTAGACATCAATTAGCTTCCCCTACACATACGTGACTGCCCTCTGTGTCAAATGCTTGATTAAACCTGTACAATTGATCCTCAGATGACTTCACTTTAATCAATAAAGAAGACTAACACGAAGCGGCATATGGAAGCTGCTACAACCTCAACAGGCCAGGTGTAGCATCCGAGAATTGCAGGACTAATCGTATCGGTGAGAGAGAAGTATTTGGCTATCGTGGCTGACTCAGTATTTGCGTTATTCGCTACGCCCCAGTCACCAAGGCGTATCGGCTATGCCAAAAGACAAGGTATGTTAGGCAGTTTCTTATCGTCTCCTTCTAAGGCAATAACAAGCAGCGAGTCCATCGACTTCTATCGTCGAGCACTAAGCCGCGATTTGTAATTCAAAAAAGCCCAGAACTTTTATCGCTGGCAAAAAGCGTAGGCAGCTAAAGTCACACGTTTATTCTTTCTTTCGAGCATCGTAGCAAACCTATACCGAGTCTCGATGTCCGAGAGGAGACCGAAAAGGACCACCTGGTCATCCCATGGCTTAGTGATCATCCTCGCATCAACACGCGACCCTTGGTTAGTTTGTCGGGGCGTAGGGATAATCCCCGGGCTACCTACTTGGTGAACGCCGACCGAAATCCGCTTTTGGAAAATGAGATAGCGGCATCATCGGCTATGTTTACTTGGAGGACGTCCTGGTGCTGTAGAGGGAATGGCCAACGCTATTTCTTCTCGGCACCAGAGAAAGCACGGTGCGCTCACATCTTGCACGAAACGCCGGAGATCTTAAGCGTATGGGACATTTAATACTATTCAACAAAACTATTCATTCTAAGAAGAGGCTTTGTAGGTGAAACTGTGCATTTTGGCGTTCCCAGCCCCATAGCCTCGGATGACGGTATAACCGTGACTCATATGATCTGGGAAATGCTCTGTACATCCATTTTGGACCTCCTATGCCAGCTCTGCCTCAATAATGACCTCCGATCCCATGGCAAAGCTATGAATCTGGATATTCCGGAACCCTGCGCGCTCCAAAACACTCTTCCAGTCTGCCTCGGTACGCTCCCTCATAGCGCCCAGCACAAAAACGAGCTGGTCCATCGAAGTGACAGACCATGGCGCGTTCTGACCCGGGACAACTAGTTCATTGATCAGCAATCGCGAGTACCCTGCCTTCATCGCGGGCTTCAGTTGCTGCAGGATCTTTATGCAGTCATCGTCTCCCCAATCGTGAAGGACGGAATGAAGGTAGTATGTTCGCGCATTTTTGACTGGCTGCTCTGTGAAGAAATCGTGGGACGTGGGGTCAAAGACAGTTTCACCGGTACTGGCCAACGAGGATATGACCTCGGGTCTGTCTTGCAGGACGAGCCTCCCAGGTAAACTCGGATGCTTCTCCTTCAGCTCCCTGAGATCATGACCGAGACCTCCCCCAACGTCTACGAGCATGACATCGCTATAGGTTGGTTCAAAGCCATTGATGAGACGCTCTTGGATTGGGTAGAAGCCGGGGTCGAGCCAGGATGGCTTCCCCGCGCGGTAAGCTGACATGTAGTTGTTAAACTTTTCCAGATACGGTGGGTTCTGGTCCAACCAGGCGAAGAAAGGCAGATCTGTCTTATGGGCATGCTGGAAGGGTCCGTTGGTCAAGTCGGTAGGGAGAGCGTATGAGGTCTTCTTCAGATATTCGGGCAGAGCGCGGAAAGATCGGCCAGCCACATCGTATCTTCGCACAGATCGTTAGAAAATACGTGTAACATGAAAGAACTCTTGACATACGTATAGATGATACCATCTCTGTATTTAGGGTCTGTCAGGGCGTTGCTAAGACCCGTGGCGACATATGTGTCAACGCCATTCTCGGCTACAATTTTCATGGCAGCCAAGTGCCTCATAGTTCGAGCTTGATATTGTCAAAATTGACCCAATTGCCTGGATATGCAGTTGAGCTTACCTATCAACACATCGTCAGCGCCAATCTTAGCCGCCAGGGCCTGCGCACTTATCCCGGCCGTGCCACTCTCCTTGAGATGCTCAGGGATCTTCAGATCAACAGCAATGCGGCAGTGAGCCGCCCGAGCAGGCTACAGGTAACGATCGATCAGCACCGCGTATTTTAGGAATGGAGCTGCTTGATTTGCAGTGCAATGGTGCGGGATGGAATTACCTCTGCCCAGCCAATTCGCTGAATGGCTTCACTAGGCAGCTCGAGGCTGGATATCAATTCACGACAGAGTTTGATGAGTTGCTCCCGAGCCCCCGGTTGCTTCTCACGGAACTCTGCGCCAACAGACTGCAGCTGCGCGAGAATCCTATCTGACTCGGCCGACATTTGAAGGTACTGGTATTCCAATTGGAGAGATGCAAATAATTGATGAAAGTAGATGCCTCTCGAAAAAAATGGAGGAAAACTTCTAACTCTGGAAGACACCAGAAGTAAGCACCAGGTTAAGTATCTCCCCACATTCTACATTCTACCTACCAAACTAAAACCGTGACGTGCACTGATGATTGCTTACATGCTTACCAATCTTACCCTTGCTGGATACCAGGTTGCGGTCTGGGAATAATCAAGTTAGACTTTGATCCGTCCCCAATCATATCAGGAAAATGAACACTAGCAGGCCACGGGCATGTGTTTCGTATCCTTGTCTTCTCGACGCCTGTTACCGCTGCCACCGATTTCATAGCTAGCCCAGCAATCAACTTTCTTGTGAGCAGAGATCACTTGTTCTGGAGCATCGATATCTATATAAATCGCAGAAATAGTGTACATCCGTTTGGTTCCACACTCTCTACCACGAGGTTTCCATGAGCAGAACCCACCAACACGCCTAAGCTGACGATAAACCAGGCACAGATATTTGAGGTGATGAGCTGGGGCCCATCAACACTGTCTCCCGCCCCTCGCCATTTTTACATTGGTTAATCTCATACCGTTCCAGGGTGTGAACCATAGGTGTAGACGTAGCGGCGCTTGCGCACGTACGCCTATTCAATATCTGAGCTTATGTTTTTGCTATCACAAAAGTAGCAAACAGTGAATAACCGAAGACTCTACCTAGCAACGAGCTATTGTCACGACAGGACTCCAAAGCTGTAAGACACAAGCCCACTTGGCTAGAGCCGCACCACGTTACACGTTTCATATCTTATAAGTTCTTACTGCTTAAATAAGATATTAGTCTGTTCTCTTATTGACTAGGTAAAATAAATATAAGTAACTCATGTAAAATGTTAACATGATACAAATGAAATGTTGTTAAATGTCTAAATAGTTTACTTCAGTTTATACCTTCGTTCCTCGCTTATATGTCCCGATGTTATATGCCCGAACTCCCCGCAATATCCTCTCTATTTGCTCCCGGATGCTCTTTGGATATAAGTTGTTACCCATGCCATTTCGATTATAGGAGCCCTATTTAATCACTTTGTCGCCACGGAGACGGCGAGCGAGAAGCGTAGGCGCCTCCAGGACGATAGCTACCCCCTGATTGATAAACTGGAGGGGATACCTGGGGATGCGCATATCGTCGCTCATGCAGCAATTCTTCGTTCATCACAATACTGTCAGTTGACGGCACCTTTGCATGGTTTGCTTGAGGGTGTCGACCGCGGTGAGTTCCGCTTGCACGGAAGTGCCTGAAGTCCAACCAGGTAATAATAGTCAAGTAGGCTGCGATCATGCTAGATTGAAATTCGAATTAGCCAGGTATCGCCTGGGGATACTTATTCTCTGACGTACCTCATGATTATGCCGAGAACGCACACAACCCAGCTCAGCGTACAGGTGAAGCCCTCGCAGAATTTGATATTTGCTTGTATCATCATGAATACCACTGCGCCCCAGAAAACAATCTCAAGCGCGTTCAGAATAACGTAGGCTTTGAGGCTGGACCACTTTTTGAACGCGTGCACGTGTTCCGATAATAGCTGGTACAACAAAATAACGAGGGACTTTGCACTCTGATGCCAAACCTGTTAGCCGAAATCACAGCTATTGACTAGGGCAGTTCTTACCATTCCCAGTGCCATTGTATTAGATCGTCCTCTTGGGGCATTCGCTGGCTGCTTCAGCATTCGCACAACTGACAAGATCAGGACTGCAATGATCAAGAACAGCTCCACAAGATGGAGCGGAAGCTTGAGGCGGTTGCTGAAGATTCCAGACATTTTTGGATAGTGCGGAGAGGAGACGATTATGTGAAGATTTGGAGGCTTTTTGCGAGAAGGAAATGAAAATTTGATGACCGGTATGATGGTTGGATAAGCTGAGTGTTTGATTGAAGCTGTGAGTTGATGAGGAAATGACTTAGAACGCGGGTTTCGCACAGATTAAGTACTGAATTTGTATCTTTATCGAACCCCAGTCTCTCAATGCTAATCTTGAGGCTTTGTGGATGTGCTTGCAGCAGAGTAGATCACACTAAGGCTGTGTTTCGGTCTCGGATGCACCTTGATTAGCGCGTTATAAATTTGGTGCTGAAAACCAAAGCGAAACCGAGCTCAACTGCCCATTCGTTGTAACGAAGACGCAAAATACAGCCTTATGGGGCTACCCCTTTGATTACTGTACACGCGTTGCTGCCGTCGGCATATGTGGAATTTCTCGTATTAAACTTGATGCTGAATTATGAGACAAGGGGTAGATTGATCTCGTTGATAGTCTACGCGCGCAATCAGAATGACACCACTCGGTTTTAAACCACAATGACCGCTGAGCCTAGATTCAAGGCGATGTTGAAGGGTGGAGATTTGGGAGAAGAGCAAATAAACACGCTCTCTTACTATAGAGTAATTGCAGCAGCTAGCTAACTAGAGTTTTAATAACCTCATAAACCAATTCCCAACTTTACTCCAAAAAAGACCTTGACTATTCTTAGTTCCAACCGTACCTAGAGTACTATCGCCAATGACCTTGGTCTTTACACCCTTGATTCGGTGAGATTGGAAAACTCCTGGCTCCTATCGGCTGGAGGAGAATTTGGCACCGCACCAATACTAAACCAGCCGCCTACCGTGACAACTATGGCCACAATCATTTGCATACCAAACATCAGCACCAGTCTAGTAGCAAAAGTGCCAGAGAAGGGATCTAGGCTCGAGTATGGGGTGAATGAGTAGGTCAAGGCGTATCCAAGCCGAACGAGCTGAAAGGGGAATGCTGCGCACGCCGCAAGATGCAAGTTGTTCGCAACCTGGAAGTTTGGGTGCGTCTTCATGCCCATCACCCGTCTCCCAGTTGACCAGAGCCACCATCCCACGCCGAAGAGCATGACGAAAAGTATCAAGCAGGTTCCGACCTGGTTCAGGGTCTGTGACAGAACGCCACCTGGAGCTCCGGCCTTGGGCGCTCCTCCATATGTGGACAACGTAATGCCGGCGGTGACGGCGAGATGAGTTACGCCAAGTATTATTTTCTCGACCCAGCGTTTGGGGGGCAGTGGGAGTATCATGTTTCTAAAGGAAACGCTCTCGATTAGTGGCATGTTCAGTTCACCCTGGATGAGCTTCAGACTTACACTTCATAGATCATTCCAATTATAGTTAGCGACAGGCAGGCAATGCTCCCGGCGCTGGTCATGATGATGACCACATTGGGAATCTCGGGCTCGTTGCGCTTGGCGATTTGGTATGCATCGGAGACAAACTTGAGTGGAAAGTATGACACAAAGATTGGCCAGCAAGTCATGCCCGCCTTTCCATGTTTCCAGGTGATCCAGATGACAGGGATGAAAAGAACAGCATAGAGTACAAGCTCTGCAATGGCCAGATTGAGCTTGTCCGGTGAGGGCGGATCGGGGAGGCTGTTGGCGGCGGTCATGGTGGACAGTAGAAGGACAGTAGAAACAGTCTGATTTCGGAGAATTTTAGTCAATACGGAAGTCGTCCTGGCCCAGATTCATAAAGCAAAAAGATCTCGAGGACATGCATGCAGAGACTGGGCAGCGGTTGAATGATATCGGGGAGATCCAAATGCGCTAAAGACCGGGCCCGAAACCGATACCGAAATGCTGAAACTAAAATGACATGTTGACCATGGCTGAGATTCATGCGTGTAGATCGCTAATAAAAATGCGTCAGCACGCCAAGCCACGGGCGACGAATGTCACTGTTACAGTCTGAGATTTTATCCAAACACGAAACAACCAAGTGATATCTTGCCGTGGAATCCGATCAAAAATATCTTGAGCACCAGTAAAAAGGAGTCGATCGACATTCTGAAGTCACATATTTGGGCTTGGTCCTAGGACTCGAGGCCAATGCCGTGGGGCTTTGCAATGACATACTCATAATAGATGTTACTATACCTATCTAATTAGACGATTGGCACAACTATCCCATATGCATCCTACTTACTCAATGTCATTGCTGCTGTCCATACTCGGTAACTATACTAAGATGCCTAGTAAGATATACTATGGCTGAAAACCTATGGTATGGAGGATGCAACATGGGAGACATGATGGAAAACCTGTCGGGTGGAACCTTGAGGGCAACGAGACACCGAGGTAAGTTTCGATGACTTTCCAACCTTTCAACGATCAACCCACCCAGTTTCCTTCCTCTGGTGTATAAGCCACTTGCTGATCAACAAGCCTATGAGCGTGTCTCGGTCTGGTCATTCAACCACGCCGATCAGGAATTGGCCATGGAACCACTCAAAGGTCTGTTCATTGATTCTCGTCGATGCTCCCAAGGGTGTCAATTCCTGACCTTCATGCCATCAGATGCTCCGCTTATCAAGCAAGTGGGACTGCAACCCGACTCAGAGGTATATGGTGCGTTTTACAAAGCGATTGATCGGGTGAACAGGTGCATAGCAACGTTCTGCTTTTACTCTTTCGAAGAGAGAGAAATTGATTAATTGACTCATAAACTCACAGATAACTAAGTTTGGCGAGTAGAAGGCATTGCGTAACAAGAATGCACAAGAACCTACATCAAGGCTTGTTGCCATTGACGGGGTGCCACATAAAGAGCACATTGTAGGTGGAGTCAAAGGGTAACGTCAGGTCTAAGTGCGTCTAGTGTTTCTAAAATCATTAGGACATCGGAAGAATAAGAAGGATTAATGAACCATAGGCTGTCTTCGTACGTTCTCAGACTCAAATTCAGTCTTGCTTAATGGCGTCAGTCCATACACCACGCGCCTCGTTGTCTGCGTACAGGTAGTTGGGCCATGAAACGTTCTCCAACGCAGCGCGAGCCTCTGTCCAAGTTGTGATCCCAGTCACATTGCTCCAATACCTGATATATCTATTCATTTCCTGGCGCAGTGAGACCAAGTCATCCTCATCGCCTGCAGTTGGGCGAATGGCAAAGCTCATTGCCGCAACAAAGACTTTCCAGAACCACAACTGTTGGTGTTGCTCATTCCACTCACAAAACCATGTCATCGTCTTCCACACGTCCTCTCTGATGAGGAGGACTAGGTATCGTTGCAAATTGGCATCCCTTGCAGCATGGAGGTCCCAGAGAGCGAGGATGCAACCCATATAGAGCGCGGCGCCAGCCACCAAGGGGGACCACGCAGACTTGAGAGGTGACCTCTCATATGAATCGAGCGAACTCTGACCCCTCATCGCGATGATAGATGCCATATGGGTTTCAAATAAGAGCAAAAACAGAGTGGTCGCAGTTCCTTCAATCCAAAAGTCGTTTAGTTTCCCATCTTCTGCGGGGAAAAGTCTCGCTTCTGATTTCTTGGTAAACTCAGACAATCTATGGACGAAGTCTCTGGCATCAATGAGCCCCAGAGATACTCCAGGTTGCGGGACTGAGAAAAAGTAGGGCATCATCAATAGCGCCTTCAATCGATTCTCGAGCCCTGAGTGCTCTTCCCTGTGGCCTTTCCGAATCATGGAGTATATTGCTGAACTATCATGTGGGTCTACTGGCGTAACATCGGTGACGCGAGTGGAAAGACCATTGACAAAGATCATAATCCTATCGGAGGGGTATTATCAGCAGGGCCGTTCTGCAGCAGCTCACACGCTTTACTTACACCAATACATATCGATTAGTCAGTTCTTCTTCAATTCGAGCCGGCCTACAAACCTCGAGTGCTATTGAGCCTATATAGCTCATCAATCCTTTCAAGTGTACCTGTGCTAGAGCAAAATTTCCCAAAGCTGCCTACCATACTCGAGTTAGGATAGACCTCAACAAAAAGGCTAGGATGGAAAATGGTACCTCTACAATGCAGTGTGTTGTAATACTCCGGATAATTTTGTTTGACGTTTGCCTTTTATGCATATCTCGCATCCAGCTGTTGATTTCATTCAAGCTCTCAACCTTGTGTAAAAGATATGTTGGTGTGAAGAGTTGCATGCTACCACTACTCCATGAGTAGTGTAGACTAGCAACGAGCAAGGTATTGCGTAATGCATTACTGTCATGGCCGACAGTACCAACACTAGATAATAGTCGTTAGCTTCCTCGGCAATGAGAATGGGGGGGGGGGTGGCTTAACCCACATGTGCTTGGAAGAAGACGGAGACAAGTACTCGCCGCACTTTACAACTGCCATAAGATGTGTCAGCTACCAGATTACGGGTGAAACTCCGCCACAGATTTTTACAGTAATAGAGCAGATCCGCAGACTTGAACGGCATTTGCAAAGCTAAAGACTCAAACGGGTCAAGCGGTGCACCAAGAGGTCCATAAATAGGTGCAATCGCCGTCACAACGCGATTGAGGCGGTCTCCAGCTACATGCCAAGGCGCATGTTGGCCAGGGAGAGTTCTCGATTTCGTAATCAACTTCCTTTCGTTTAGAGGGATCGATGGAGGAGGATAGATACATGGTCTCATTGTTACCACACAGTTGGAGCTACCATAGGAAACGATCAGTGAGCCACGTGAAACCGGGTTACATTGCACATTACGACCTCAGGATACAGCCATGTGCCACAAAAGCGGATAAGCACCTACCAGACGGGCCGCTGTTCGTCGCATTTCTGGTGAAGCTGTCTACATGACGCACACCCTGTTCTGCTTCGCGTAAGAGGCTTCTTGCGGTCCTTCCCCTGACCCTTCGGATTTCTGTCCCTGTGAGATTGCTGTCTGGCCGTGTCAGAGGTCATAGTGACAAATGCAATGTCTCCTCAGTGAAAAATGAGTACAGTGGAAGGCTCAGGTACAACAATTCAGCTGGTGCTATTGAACGTTACTTGAGCCTAGTTCATCAGCATCAAGTGCATATGAAGATATGGAGGGCTGGAGCAAGAGGCAGACAGACGGTGGTTAATCGTTTCGCCCCACAACCCGACGATACCGCGTGAGATCAGAAACCTTTCCCAGTTCAGAAGGGATCCACGACAACAATTTAGAAATACAGTACATACACAGAGCATGATTAGTCATAGTTTTATCTAAAGAAGCTTAGCTTCTCCAAGATTACATTTATGCGTCAGCACTAGTCTGTTTTGGGTAGAATAGCCGTTGTGCATCAAGCAGCCAGATAATGCTTGAGTTGGATAACTTGTCCTTGAAAGGAGTGCAATCGAACCAGCTACTGTCGTACAGTGTATTAATTACTGGCTAATCTAAGAAAGCCAAGTACTTTTTCCACTTAGGTTTTCTTCCCATCAAGTCAGTTCTTAATAAATAAACTTGCTAAGTCTTTTTATCAAAGAGAACATGCTCTTTTACTATATTATGGTTATAGGGTAGGCTCCTCTTATTAAGAATGAGAGGAGGACCTGCACCTCGCAGGTGTAAAGCACCTGCTAGGGATCAATTCGTGGCTACATTGATCTCTGAAGACCTCCTTTTTGTAGCAGAGGCCTCTTGTCATAACTAGGTGCAGAGGCTGCCGCTGCTGAACACGTGACCTGTCAGTTGACCACTGACAGAGAGAGGAAGTTATATACAATTAATTTTAGTAGCTTCTAGAACCTAAAGAGACTTATATATATAGCTAGACTTATTATAGGTATAAGCACTGATGTGGCTTGCTACTGTTCTATATAAGGCCCCCCAACAAGAAGCCAGTACCGTGAGTCCAGAGCCCAACGAAGTCCCTCTTTCTTAAGCTGTTCCTTTGCTTTTTTTACATTTCGTTCTTTGAGAAGTATCCGTGTTGCATCTTTCGCCGCCGAAAGTTCCTTCACCCTCTGACAACGTGGTCGAGGTTCGCTCCCCCTAACAGTGTCGGAGTCTGGCACTACTAATCCCTCGAAGACTTCCAGAGCCACAGACTCACTAGAATCCCTCTTTAAGAGACTGAAGAGGTCATACCTCGCCCAAAGAAGATCTCTACCATCTACGACTTCTTCAAGCCTAGAACCACCGCTGCTTGAGGTACTTGTAACCATGCCACCAGTTCCTCGCGCTTCGCTGAGCAAACCTGTCAAGATTTTCGTTGCTGCTTCCAATTCACCTCTGTCTCTCAGCAGCATAGCCCGAAACCGCTGTACCTGGCAGAGCCTCTCCTGAGCGCAGTGGCCCGCCCCAATCGTTATTGCCAGCTCCAAGAAGGCCTCCGCGCTTTCCAGCTCGCCCTTCTGCCGATAAACCAGCACCAATGCCAGAGCAGAATCCATGGCGACGGTGTTGTTCATTCCCAGCACCCGTTGGCGGTTTGCCAGCACCTCAGTGGCGAGACGGAGCGCCTCTTCCGTGTGCCCAAGTTTGAACAGTGCCATCGAAGCAGCCATTTGAGACATCATGGTAAGCACGTTATCAATTGATGTGAGCGCGCTCCAGGATTTGGTGATATATTCATAGATCTTAAGGGCCTCCAAGCACTGTCCTTGAGCCTGTAGGGCATATGCTATAAAGAGTTGACTCTTTAGGGTCTCCTGGTTCATGGGCCCTAATGTAGCTCGTAGCCCAGCAGCTGCGCGCGTCTGCAACTCAATCGACTCCGCCAACTCTAGCATATGATATTTAGCTATCGCGTAGTTTGATTCCACGTAGAAGCTATGGTAAGTACCGGGCGAAGGGTTGAGGCCGTCCAGCCTCCATGACTGTAGAACTTGGGCTGCGCGATCAAATTGTAAGCTGTTGATTTCTTCGACGCAGAACTCGACAGCGCATCGCAAGGAGAAGGTATGTTGTGGCCCCAAGAGACATTTTACCTTCTCGGCAACCTCCTTCCTGATTCCGTGTAGCCTTGCCATTTCCTCGCCTGTCAGGTTCAATAAGAATCCCACCCGGTATAAGAGAAGCATTGGAACCAAAGGATCCCCACAGTTGAAGTTTTCGAGACCAAGTGCTGCCTCATATGATTCTATCAGAAAAGATTTGATAGCAATACGCGATCGAATATGCAACGGGAGAAGGGCATGCCAGCTCTGGATCTCTGCGCGGATAGACACGACTGGACCAAGATCGAATATCCCTTTGGTATAGTATAGAAATTCGGCCCACAAAATGAGTGCCGGGGATCTCATAAAGAGACCGACTTGATGAGCAAACTCGGGTGTTATAGTAATCCCCAATTCTATAATGTGTTGATGCCAAAATGAAGCAGCATAGTTATAGAAGGCTTCCACGCGAGGAACGACTTGATTCCCAGTAGAGGGGTCAGAAGCGATTGTATCGGATAACATGTTGTGACGAAGGTAAGGGTCAATTCTTTCTCTTGTCGAGTTTATGCGTTGGGCTAACTGGTTGAGACATAGTTGTGCCATAGCTAATTCACTTTCGAGCTTGCCAATCCGAATAGAATTTGTCAAGTCAATGGCCACAAGGCCGGAAGCGTGCGAAGTGATGAATTCTTGCACTGATGCATGGATGAATCGAATGCTGCCCTGGTTGCAATCTATAAGTGGCCAGCCTAGCCGTCGTATGGTTGCAAGTGGTTTGATCAGCCGGTCTTTGAGGTCCGGTGGCCGTGAGGACCTCAGCGTCAAGGCAATCGTCATCTCTTCCACGCTTAATGCTCTTGCTGCGCCAAGCGTGAGGAGAAACAGCCTTCTCCGTATGCTTAGCTCTTCCTTACTCAGCGTAGACCCAGTTTCGGTGAGGAACGTATCATATACAGCGCCGAGACCGGGAGGAAAGCGTTCTAGCCGATCCAGCTGCATTCTTGGGGTCACAGCTGCTTTCAGATATTCGAGCATCATTTTGGCCCATAAAAACATGCCTTGAGCAGTAGTCGCAATCTTGTCCACTATGGCAGTTCTCAAATATTCAAGAGACTCGTCTCTATTAACCTCCCGTTCGACGAATAGTCGAATGTCAGCTTCAACGGCCGCCCTGTCCATTTCTAGGGATATTGATTTAGTGAGAAACGATGCGTAAGTCGAATTATGCCGCGATAAGAGGATACCTCGCCCATTGAAACACTGGCTAAGGCTTTCTAAATGCCCCACTAGTTGGAGGAGACCTTCGCCATCGGAGCATTCGTCAATGCCGTCCACAATGATGGTGAATTCTGGCAAGATCTCGAATACGGCTTCAACCACGGACCAAAGTCGATCAAATGGGCACTCCTCACAGCTGCTAAACTTGTTGTACAATGGAACGAGATGCCGCTTTATGATGAGGTCGAGCTTTGAGTTTAGTTTACTGGTGTGCTGCCTCAGTGCCTGAGACAGGATTGAAATGCACACTGCAGATGCCCTCGTTGACACACTTCCACTCGTTTTCCGAAAGAAGTGCGTGAAAACAACAGGAGTCGAAAGATGCTGTGAAACGTATTTGGCAAGAATTGTTTTGCCTCGACCTAAAAATTGAGGGATTAGTGCTCTTCGGCAATGACCTCCGCCACACATTCTTTGGTTTGGGCGAGGAGTCAACTTTCTAAATATGAAATGGAATTATTCAACTTTTACTTACCGGGGATCCCATAAATCCAAAGAATTGGCACGAAACCAGCACCAGCCCATGCTTTCCATGCCTCATGATGGAAGACCCACTCGCATGTTCCGTCTTCCCAGGTGTCTAAAGTTTCGCTTCTGGCCCTTCCCGCCTCAAGCCAAGATAATGCCGTGCGAAAGCGAGAGTCTGCTAGAATATCTAGTAGAAGTTAAGATTACATGATAGTTCAGTAGGGGCAGAGGTCTGGTTGGG